AGCAGAGGGAAGAGAGAGTGAGAGAGAGGGAGGGGAGAGAGGGCGAGACTGAGCGAGAAAGCTGGAGAGGAGCAGAAAGAAACTGCCAGTGACGGCTAGATTCCGAGTCCGCCGCGCCACTGTGCACCGTCTCGGGACTCGACACCCTCGGGAGCCCCGCCGTCCTCTCGGGCCCGGCTTGCGGGTGCTTACGGTCCAGCCCGTGCCGCGGTTCGCTTGGAAACCTCCCTGGGCAGCGGTGGGACGTGGAGACAGCAGCTCTCTCCCGGTAGCGGGTAAGTGGAGGCCATCTCTCTCCCGCAGGGATGTGAGATAATGCGAGTCTGGAAATTTGTTCCACTTTGGAGAATCTTCACCGTAGGTGATTTGTGGCTCTCAGAGCTGCAGTTTCTCCGAGTTCGCTCAGTTGGCAAACAGACCTTGCAAAAAACCCTTCTTCCCTTCGCCCTCAGCCACAAATGCTAACAGTCTACAGAGTATCGATGTCGAGTGGGCAGCGAGACCATGACTGGCATTTAAAACAAGCTATCTTCCCTTAAATCTCGGTGCCAACACGGCGGGGACAAAATTCTTAGGCCGAGGATTAGCATTCTTAAATAAAGGGTGGGTTACAAAGTTTCAGCTACTGGAAGATTAGCCCTCTTCGCATTGTTACCCACTGGAGGGGGGAAAAGGAAAAAAAAAAAAAAAAGATTCCATCTTAACTGGCAGGCAGTGACCTCCCAGACCCAAGTGAATTACCTGGGAGCCAGGCCTCAATGCCAAGCACACACAATTACTTTGAATTAGAAATCCTTTAAATTGATCAACAGTTAAATCCAATCTTGCATTTATCAAAGATACATTACATTTTAAATGGGTGCAGGGAGAAAACTAGTTTCCAACTAAGTAGAAAAAGAAAAAAAAATGGATTATAAACCTGAGAGTTGTGTTCCTCTTCTTATTCCAATTTAATGTCTTTCGTTCCCAAGCGATTTAGAAGTCAAAGTATCAAAAATAGTGTAATTTTTACTCTCTGTGTGAGCATTATGTCTCAATAAAATAAATGGGGGGATCCCTTTCACTGTTATAGATTAAAGCAACATATGAATTCATACATTCTAAAGCATTTTACAAGAAAGCTGATTTAAAGTGATGTTCATGCATTCCCTTAAGGCTATTAAAAAGAATTCATGATTCCTTCACCATAAAAAATAATTTTAAAGAGAATCCATCTAAAATGCAAATAATAATGATGTCGAGAAAATAACACACTTTATACATTTAAAATTTTTTGTTTGCATAACATAAGCATAGAAAATGCCAATGATTAAACTTTTGCAAAAAAAAACACATTGCTACTTCATTTATGTAGATTTTCCTTCAACCTCAGCAAAACGACATTTAAATTATTTACATGTTTTGTTCCTTAAGTTGAGCACACTTATCTTCAAACATTCTTAAGGCATCAATATTAATTGGCTTAAAACAAGGCTGAAACATGGGAAAATACAAAACTACCTAAAGCAGTATTTTAATTTCCTTAAATGATTACCCACTGCAATTAATTTGCTGGCTAATCTCACCAATTTAGCTCATTTAAAACATATGTTCTTGAGCTGTTTATTTTTAAGCTTTCCATCAACGATTTTCTTCTGGGCTAACAGAGTGAATGGAAATGGGGGAAATATGAAAGGATTTGGAATTCTTGGAACTTTATTTTTAGTTCCTGCAATATTATTCTTATGGTGATCATCAGAAATTTTTTTTAAGCAGATTTTTTTTTTTCTCCTGAGGCTTTGGCCGCCTGGCCCATTGTAGCTCTCAGTGCTCCTTCACCCGTGTGGTGGGCTGATGCTCCAACACTCAAATCTGCCCAAACAAGATTGCCAGGCACACAGAGACATATTAACATTCCAACCAGGACATGAACTCCTGGAGTTGAGGACGACTCCCCATCAGGAAAAGTTGTGCATCTCAATTTGTGGGATCAATTAGCCATCGAAGTCCCTCCAGAAGTCGGGCAGCCGAATTTGTCACGGAAGATTTGTCTTGACAGGGCAAGGTGAAGGATCGGCAGGCAGGAATTGGAAGTGTCTCTTAAAAAATTATCTTCCCCAGTTATTTAGATTCAATTTATCTCCTAGGCCGGGTCATTATATGGAGCATGAAATGCCGTTCCTAGGGCTCGTTTTGACTGCAAAATAAATCCCCAAGTCACAAGGACACCTCGGAGCGAGCTAAGGAACACGCCTTGACCTTCTTTTTCAATCCTTAGAGCGCAGCCTCCCCAGTCCTTGCAGATTTGTTTGGGATTGCTTTGTTTGGTCTGCAGCCCTGAAGCATTGGGGGTGAGGGGCGAATGTGTAATAATCAACTGACTTTACACCGAGCGACCCGAGCCTTTTCTTTTGTATAATTCATTCTTTCAGAGAATGAAAACAATTTGCAGTTACCATCTGCAATGCTCCGGCCACCGGCTAATAATGCAGCCAGTTCAGATATTTAAAAAAAAAAAAAAAAAGAAAAGATTATCGAAATGATGATGACATGCAAATTTCCCTTGAAATTATCATAAGTAAACATTTGAAGTCTGGACTAATAAAATCCCATCTGTGTTACTTCATATCGAGTTAGTAGAGAGCTGTGATAATGAATTTTGTAATATCTCACGAACAGACATCTCAATCAGGGACTAATCCTGTGATTTTACTGCAGAATCACTAAATCTGGAGCCGCCAAACTGCTACTTCTGGGCCCTTGGGCCCGCAAGGATCCAAAAAGCCCCCGTCCGCGTCCCAGCTAGCAAGTGAGGGAACCGCCAGACAGTCCCCATCCTTGGAACCCTACGCCACAACGCCAAGAACCCCTCCTCCAGGCAGCGACCTTGGCCTGGGACTCCTGGCGCTCCTGGAGAGGCCGAGGAGAAGTGGGGAAGCGCGACTGAGGCCACAGCCAGACCGGCTGCTCCCTGCCTTGCTGGTCTTGTCCCCACCGGGCAGACTCGCCGGCACCCCAGCCCCAGCCCTGGCCCCGCGCGTGGGCCCTCCCGCCGCCTGCGTACCCTGGTTGGTGTGGAGAGAAGCAGGCGCCGAGATCAAAAGGGAGCCTAGGACCTTTTTTTTCCTTTCTTCCGTCTTTAAAAGCAGCCGAGGCGGCTCCTCTACCAACCCAGACTGAGCCCCTCGCCACCCACCTCTCCAGCTTTGCCTGTGGCGGAGAAGGGGGAGCGCGCTAAAAGCTTGGCTCGCTGCGTTGTGGTTGGAAATTTGAAAAAATTTGGCTTCCCAGGGAGGGCAAGGGGGAGAACTGAAGGAGTAGGTCTCCCGAGGCGACTTCTCGGTCTTTGGCGGCCAGTAAACCTCCGGGATGTTTGCCTGCCCTCCTGAATCTTACTCTGTCCTCCCCGTCCGTCCCTCCTCTGTGATCTTAAATCATGCTCTAGGGTAAATAAATGGCTGGGTGAGTATCTCCAGGGGACAGTGTGGCTAAATATGGAAAAGTGGCTCCTGATGGATGAGATGCCCAAAGCCAGCTAGCTGCTGAAACATCTAGACCTTGAGTCTTAAAAGCCCCCTCGTTTTCAAAAATACTGTGCTGAAAACCCGTGGAGACTGAAGTGTAGGGCAGAAGCAAGTCGGCCTTGACATTTTACAAAGGTTTACCCGACCCTAACTAAGGGGCAAGCACGTGATGAATAGTGGCCTTCATATACAAGTCCCTAAATTTTGTATATACTAAGGTTGTTTTCATATCCAGGTGAGCTCTTTTTCCTGGGCGTAGACATCCTTGTGAATAGGACCACAGCCTGGTTATTCACAATATCGTGAATTTAGAAAGCCTATCGCCCCTGGGCCCATTTGCTGTAACTCTGCAGGGAGATTTCCCTGGTCTTGGTAAACAGATGCTCAGGATTAGGGGCAGGAATGGGGATGCGACTGTGTCCAGCTAGAGGCTTTCAGGTCTGAGCAGCTCACCCAAAGCCCAGCGCAAGATAGGAGCGAGCCTAGCAGCTGGTGTGCAAGCAGTTAGCTGACCATCCCTTCTCACAGCCCTCAACTCTTGTGTTTTGCAGATAACGGGGAATGGAGACCAACTGCCGCAAACTAGTGTCAGCGTGTGTACAATTAGGTAAGAACCCGCTTCTCCTGTCTGCGGCAATGAACGGGAGGCCGCGCCCCGCGAACCAGGCAAGAGCGCACCATGGTGGGGCGCAGGCCAGGGGAACTTTCCAGAGGGGCTGGCTCAGGCAGCGCGGAAATCAGAACCAGGATTCGGGGTTGACCCGCTCAGCGAGTCACAGAGCTTGGGGCCTGCTCCTCCAGGCAGGAATAGCGGGCGCGGGAAGAGGACGCCACCCTGCGCTGAATTGCCAAAGGGTCCAGGAGATGGGAGTGTCCTCGGCTGGCTTTTCCCTCTAATTGTGTCTCTCTACTCTTTGTCCCTCTTTCTACTCTTTGTCCTTCCCTCCGATCGGCCGCTGTTTTGAGTGTTTCTCTCCCTTCCACGTGGGGCGGGCGCGCACGCCGCCCAGCCATGCAGCTGGTGGCCACTGAGTGCCTTTTCTCCTAAAACTAAAATTTAAAAAGTCGAGCTTGCGGACTCTTCCGAGATCGGAAAGAGGCGGCCAGTAGCCAGCTCTTCCCGCGGTAGCATCCCGGCGCCAATGGTAAGGCCAGGAGGGAGGTACAGGCCGCGAGCCGGGCACCGGCCTCTGGGCCTCGGTGAGGCTCCCGCAGGCCAGACTGCCGGGCTGCAGACGCTTGCTGTCTGAACTTACACACTTGGCCTCTCGATGGGACAGGAAGCAGCCGTCCCACGGATGTTAATTCCTTTTTCCAAATTATACTGCACTCCTGAGACCCAACACCTCACCCTCTCCCGTTTTCCTGATCTCGTTCGCGCCCTCTCTCTCTGGCCTGATCTTAAGCGCACCAAAGCCTACCTCCGAGCAGCTAGCTGGAGTGGAAAAATAGTCCAACAGCGACCTCTGTCGTTCGCCATGTCCCACTGCGCGCTGCGCTGCCAGGCCCCACCCCGGCCCCGCGGCTCTAAACTGGGCCCCGCCCAGGCCTGTGGGTGCGGGGTTTACCGCGGGAATGGAAGCCAGGCGACTGGGGTTGGCGGAGTTTCGCCTCGTGGAAGGCGGAGGGAGGAGAGAGCGCGTGTGCAGGGGCTGCAAACAGATCTGCAAAGGCGCCGGGGTGGAAAGGAGTGCGCGCCCAAGTCTAGGAGAGGCTACCTGTTGGCTAGTGACGAGGGCTCGGTTTTTGTTGGTGTCATGGCATGCATAATTGGCAGGTTACACTTTGATCAACGCAACGGGCGTTGCTGCTGAAAGTTTGCAGGTTTGGGGGCGAGGGAGAATAAGGCTCCAACCATTGCACGGGGTGCAACCATTACTGAATCCTGTGCGTGCGTGAGAGGGAGATAAGGAGGAACTTCTCTTCCTTTGGAATATATGAAAAGCTTCAATTTACTCTTCTTTTATTCTACTGCTTTGCCAAGCTCTGTAATACATAAAAGTGTCAAGCCTTAGGAGGTTGTTGACCTTTGATAGAGTGAGAAGATAACCCCCCCACATACACACAGCCTTTGGCCCCTAACCGCCTCTTTCCGGATTAAAATGTAAGAACACAAAAGTAATGTGTGCCAGAGAGGGCCGGGATTGCAGCCCCCTGCAAGTAAGCAAACTGTGAATTACTCAGAAGAAAATAAAACATTTAGACTTCCCCGTGAATCTAAGAGGAAAACATCTTTTGTGGACACAAACCATTTGAAGCAGTCAAAAGCAGAACTGCTGGAGGACCACACAATATTGTGAGTCCTCCTGCTTGGCCAGTTAAACGCTCACTTGTCTGGGATTAACCCCATGGGGTTAAATGGGGGCAATGCAGAGATAACGTTGGGTGATTTCTGTCATTAAGAGTGTGTTAAATTCTTCTTCTGTTTGATAAACGGTCGTAAAAATAAATTATTAGACCGGAGTATGTTTGGGGTATGGTTAAAAATCAAGAGGAGCGATGACTCCCGTGGAAAATGCTTTGGGCAGAGTCAGCCCCGGCTAAGGACCCACAGGAGGGAATCCTCGCACTTCTCACCCTCACCCGGCAGGTGCGGTGTCCCAGCTGATGCACCTGGCCACGCAAGGGGCTCAGGAGCCACTAAACCGCTGCTCCCACTCCGCACCTTGCCCCCCCCCCGAGTTTTCTTCTTGACCTAGGACGGTTTCTGAGGATAGGTGGTTTCCCTGCGACCTTAGAGGCAAGGCCCCTGTATGGAAAACCCAAGGGCGGAGTGGAGGCCTCTCTGGTGGGCTGGAGGCAACTGGGAGCCAGAGTCACGTCCCCGTCAGGCAGGCGTCCCTGGGTGTTCGCTTTATATGATTATCAAATAAATAGAGTTAGACGTAATGAAGGATTGTTTTTCTCACCATTACTTTCAGACCTGGATTATTTGCATGCGCATGAAAGGTGCTTCCCAGCACTGCCAGTATGGCTGTTTTCTACCTTTGGGACAGAAGGGGGAAACTGCTGCCCAAACATGTTCAGTGCCATTAATTAAGAGGCATGTGATGAAAAGAAATGTGGGAAATCTTGATTTTATTGGCTTTTAGTGAACTTGGTAGGCCAAAACTGTCACACATGAGTGGGCAAAGCTACAGCTTACCTGAAAGAAGGTCACCAGAGTCCTTTAACGTATGGGATAGGCATGTTCCTCGTCACAGCCGACTTTAAAAAGAAAAGGATTTAGTTCCTTTATTATTTATGTCTACACTTTGTGATTTGCTTTTAAAATGTTTACAATGGCATGCAATATTTTCAAAGGGCTACAGTATATGATCCTTGGTACTCTCCCTCCTCATGCCCTCTCAAAACAAAACTAAAAGCCCCAAACACCAAAACTCTACCTATTCTCAAAGGGCTTGGGAGATACACAGTTGCTGTGGGGTTTATTTCTGATTCTTAATGACCTCGTGGAGAACTGTGCTCCCTCGAATGTTCAGTGCCTCATTTGCCAGAAGTCCATCACCAGGCCTTATTTTCAAGCACTTCTCCATGAACAGGATCTTCCAACCTTTGGGCCCCACCCAGAGATCCCAATCCTTGGGGAAGGTGTGGGGAAAATCACTGAGCAGGCAGGTTTCACCTCTGGAAGATTCAGCCTCTGGCTCCTTGCTAAGTCAATCCCCTCCCGTGTTGCATATATTGAACCGATGCACAGCCTATTTCTAAGCTCAAAACGAGTGGGCCCGAGAGCGGTTCAGAGGCTAGGCCTTTGGGAAGGGCGGCGAGAGAAAAGACAAGGCCAGGGCGTGAGGCGGAACTGGCTGGCAGGTTAAGCAGCTGCTCCTCCAGGAAGAAGGGGCCTAGGCCCACAGAGAACGCTCCCTATGGAACAGAGGTTCTGGGCTCTTCCCTGGCTTTAGGGGTTCCCAAAGGAGCTTTGTTTTATGGCGCCCACAGAGCAGCCTTGACCTTCAGGAAACAGATGGGTGGGCCTTTGGCCGTCTGTGACCCTGAAAGTTTTAAGGCGGTGGCTCTGGGTTGGGGCTGAAATCGGACCGCGCGGCCGCCCTTTGGCCTTAGCTCCAGGCTTTGCGTCCGGACCTGGGGCGGGTTCCTTCTCCTGACCTCCCTCGGCGACGCCATTAATTTTTAAATAGCTTTGGCAGAATGGAATGGCTGAAAGTATCCAACCCAGATATCTAGGGGGAGCCTACTTCGTCCCTTTGCAAAGGAACAGTCACATGCCCCTCTCGGTGCCCCGAGTTACAGCTCAAACCCCAGCCCCTTAACGCGCCAAAGCGGCGGCAAACTCTCATTCATTCAATCATCAAATCGAGGACATACTCTAGGAACTTTAACGTACTTCCTAAAAACAAGGAATCCAGGTTCCCTTCACCATTATACAGAGACTTCAATGTTGCCAGCGACAAAAGTCCGGGCTTCTGTCAAAATGCAGAGCTGTGGTGCTAGAAGCAAAGCTCTAGGTTTAAGCATAAAATAAGAGAGGGCACATTTAGGAGAGACAGAGATTAATTATCTCACGAAGGAGATTGTCATTTTCTTTTCTTCTCCCTCCTCCCACTTCAAATTCTGCAGTTTATGGGCAGGAGCCGCCTCTCCGATTTATGGGTTTTGAGTTGTTGTTATGTTGGGCTTTTTTTCCGCCACCAGAGAAAATGATCCCAATTGTACAAAGGTCCCTGTGGGTCCCTGCCCGCAGAGGTAGTCTCTGCGCGACGCATTCCTCGCTCCTGAAATGGTGGCGCACTCCAAATTTAAGGCCGCTTTAGCTGTTATTCCTCACCGCCTGCTGTTAATATATCCAGCAGTTGTTAGAGCGACTCCGGGGAGAAGGAGATGTATAAGGAAAGCTTATCCGTGAGCAGGAATATACTAATGGAACAATCTGATGTCTTCTTAATCCTATGTAAAAAGCTTTGCCGTCTTCCTAATATTGACTGAATGGGTAATTAATGGCTCTTCATCTAGACGAATACCCTGTAATCCAAGATAGGCAAAAACAACAAGCCCAAGGAAGAAGACAAAAGGCCCAACCAAGGCTCCTCCTCTCACCCCCAACATAGGGGCCCGGGGTCTCCGGCTGGGCTGGAAAAGTCTCACCTCAGGGGTGAAAATAGCAACAAGGGGAGAAGATACTTACAGTCTTGGACCCAGACTTAACTTCGGTCCTTAACCACCGGGCTGTCTTCCACTGTTTCCCACCCACGTTCTCCGTGTTTCTTCTTCACTTCTTTACATTGCTGCCCTCCGCAGGGCCCTGACCACTACCTGTCCTGAGAGCCATCACCTTTCATTTAAGGGAAGTAACTGATAACTGATGCTCAGCCTGCCAGGAGCTCCGGCAAAGGACCAAAAAGTCTTCTCTAATCGATGGAAATGATCTTTTCTTTAACAATCTAGGCATAGAATCTGTGAGAAATAAAGTACTTGGGGGTGGAAGGAAGAAATTAATGGGAAGAGAGTATGCGTCTGAGAGGAGTACAGAGGGGTGGGTGGCACCAGCTTCATTGTGAAGATCTGACACGAGAGTGCCCACGATTCTCCCCGAATCTTTTTAACAGGCTGACATTTTAATTTAAACCTTTAGGAATAATATATTAC